CTAATCTCTAAAAGTGATTGATTTTCTTCCTATCATTATTATACATATTATTTTTACTAGTAATTTATTTAGTTGTCTACAAAATTGGGCAAGCTTTTTTAGTATATGTATTATATATTTTTAGTTGTTGAAAATTTAAAATTTTTTGTTGCTTAGTTTATAGTGAAAATCATAAATTTTAAAATTTATTAGTTACACGTATTTAAATTACTACACAACTCTGAAATAAATATATCCTGAATGTTTGCATATTACCATGTAAAAATACATATATTGGGTAAATTGGATATTTGTTTAATTTAGAAAAAAATAGGTTTATATACGGTTCAAAATATTTTCCATTTTTAGCCCGAAACTATTAAAAATCAAACGGAAACTACGCAATTGCTAAAACAATGTTTCCGGCGTTAAGTCGAACATTTTATGCACTATTATTCTGTTTGAGTTTTTTCAGATGTGTAATTTATTTATCATTTCTTAACAAGTCTTGCAAAATACATATTAAACTTACCATTTGGTTTTTGACTTGAATTGATTGCAATTAAATTATTCTTGTTTTTATAGATATCGGAATATTTTAAGTCGTTTGTGTTTGCAAATGACATCTTATTTATGTGATATTGTTGAAAATAGCGGATGTGTAAGATCAGGATAAATTTTCAATATTTTTTAATGATTCTATAGGTGTGGCTGTACTTATCGATAATGCTGTTGAAGTGGAAGGAAATTGTTGTAAATTAACTTCAGGCATGATAAACATTTGATAATAATGTTGACCAAGCTTTGTTAATTTCTTTTGCATGAGATTTCGCAAAGTATCCACATATTGTGGAGGTATTTTACACAATTGTCCATTACGCCACTGTAAACCGTTATTATCAACGTGAAATAACGCCGGTGATGGTACATGATCTTTCAAATAGTTCCATACACACTCTTTCAATAGCAGGGCAATCTAGAATACACCAAAATCATTTTTAAAGTAATCTTTTAAAATTCACTCTAATCCACTGTTCTACCTCTGGTGGTTCGAAATGTTCTATAATAACGTGTAAATTCGATAGGGGTGGCGGTAACAATTGTCCCATAGCCAAGATTTTCAAAAGATTTTTAGTACATTGCAATAGTTCACCTGCCTGATTAATTGTTTCGAATTTGTTAACTGTAAAAAATATAAAAATGTTATTTAGGCAAATCCATGAACACAAAAACATACCATTTTTGGCTCTCCACTGATGTAGGGAAGTGGCACAAAGAGCTCTCAATAGAACGGATGAAAAACAAAGGGCTGGTCTATGAGTTGCAATGAATCCTAATAATGCCCAAAGTATAGGAGATGTCAAGAGCGCACGTCGTATTAATAAATCCCTTTCCATTGTGACTTTTGTAAATTCTTCGTCTGGAAAGGGTAAACCATTATACATCACATCTGTGGAAACCAATTCTACTAGTAAAAGCGATATAGTTGAATAAGCTTCTACAACTATTTGACGGTCCTGAAGAATGAAAAAAGGAAATACAATGTTATCGCATTTAAAAAATATATCTTTACGTACATAATCACTGCAGCACACATCCAAAGCCTTAAGAAATAGAGTTTGTATTTCAGGAGGACACGCCTCACCAATAAAAATATTTTCGGGTCTAAGACCTCGGCCAATAACACCAGCATGTAAAATTGAACGATTCGCATTGGGACCCAGACTTTGTTTTTGATTTTGCAATAATACCATTTCATGGTCTGGTATTTGTAATTCATCAAATGCAGGTTCTTCGTACTGCCCAAATAAATACCCATAATAAAACAATGATCCCTCAATCAACTCCCTCAAACAAGCAGAACGAGAGGACTTTCGAGCTCGACATTGTCGTTGAAACAACTCGTACGAACGATTTACAGCTTCCGCGCGTTTTGCAGGAGCTAAATAAAATAAAAAAGTAAACCTTTAATATAATATTAAACTGACTTCCAAATAAATACTTGCTTTTTTCTGTTAAACTGATAAAGAAATATTTAACACTCAAAACGGCCAATTTCAAAACCTGACAAAATATAAAAAAAGATACCAGCTTAAATAATCTCACAATGCATCAAACGTAAAGAGTCGTACCTCAGTGGAACGCAAAACCGTTGTTTTAGATCCTGCCTCAATAGTATTCAGCAGGTCTATTATAGCATGAGCTAATACTTGACGATCCGTTAAACATCCTGCAGAATTTCCCGCTTCTTCCATATTTTCCTCGGTATTTAACTCAATTTTTTGCTTTTTCAATGAGCCATTAACATGGATCGTGTTGTTATTCGTCTGGTTTTGCATTTCTCTATATTTTTCATCACTTCGTTTAGATGCTACTGCATCCATATGTAAAATAAGTTTCGTAAGAGTAACCTCTAGTATTTGTAAAATTTTTGCCAAACATTCATTTAAAGTACAAACCAATTGTTGCTGTCTCATACATGACGCATTGCTTTTCTTTTGCATACTTTCAAATTAAAATTTAATTATAAGACAACAAGTTAAAAAAAAGAAAGTAAGAATTGTAGATATTAAAACTTACATAGTTAAGGTGTTGAGGTTCTTAAAAGTGTTAAATGCTTCCGAATAGTCTGTTGCAGATAAACGGGACTTTTTGAATTGTTCTTGGAGTAAAACATCTTCCAAAACCATTTTTATACCCGGCTTAATGTCTGGAAACTCAACAACACCAGATTGACCTCCAATTAGACGTATAACGGCTCCGAGTCCAGATGGATTATGAGAATAACATTTACGTAATAATTCCGAAATAGTTTGGTAGTATATATGGGAATGTTGTGTAGCTGAAAGTGAGATAAATATACCCTTTTATTTCTCCAAATTTAAATGAATTCAATCTCAACTAATAGACATACAAACTATTAAAATCAGTCGAACAGCTGTTTGCTGTTCATAAATGTTCGTACTGAGACAACTTTTCCAGAGCATATATTTTGTTTCCTCGGTAGCCAAATCATCCATAAGCGGACAAAGTCTCGCATTCAACACTATTTGTTCCAACTCCTGCAAAGAGTATTCCAAAAAGTCCTGACACCAAGCATTATGATCCCCCATTTTTGAGGCGGTAATCAATAATTTAGCCCCATGAGATTTTAAACGCAAAACAATATTATTTAGTGAAGGCTGCATATCTGCAAATAGTCTGTTCGACATCCAAAGTGGTGCCTTTTGTGTAATAACTGCTCTCATATCATCATTATCTAAAATTCGTGGTTTATAGGCGACAAAAAGTCGAACGTTAATTGCAGAACACTATTAATTTAAAAGAGTAGTCAAAAACTTACATAAATCTAAGAAGACACTGACCATATTTTGCAATATAATGTCGGAATAGTTGCCAAACTCTAAGAGAAACGGAACTATCAAAGCATCTAAATTTTTCTTGGGCTGAAGGCCCTCTTGCAAAAGATCTCGAACCGAATTTCGAAGCACTTGTTCATGGGCGAAACAAAGATACTCTAGAATTCCTATTTCGGAGTCAAACTGGCAGCGATAATCATCAGCAAACCTTTTCAAGCTGCACTGCAAAATTTGCGATATAATTTTCGAAGGAAAGCACCCTCCTAAACGTGCTACGACCCAATCGAAAGTCATAGAATACCGTTGATATGCAGCTGCAATAAAATTCTATTTCACAATTTTTATTCTCTAGGCAATGAAACAAATTACTCACCTAAAAGCGTTTCGACACAAGTTTCAGCTTCTGAATTTGTAAGTTTGCGAAAACATATGCTGATTAAAGTCAGTAGACCGCGCATAGTACTGCAATTAAGCCAGTAGTTACAGGCAGCACCAATAGACATTCGTTTACTATATTTGTCCGATAGACTTCCAACTAGATCCAAACACCATGACGCTATGACCGCTCCCCAGGCTCCTGGTCCTTTACTTACCATGTTCTCCAAAGCTAGCTGAATAAATTCGAAACATGGATCTTCCATTGACACTGTCAGCTGTTGCTGCTGTTGTTGACTTGTGCCCAACTTTTGCTGCTGTATACCAACTCCTGTCTGAAGATCTACATTTGCCGTATTCACATAACTCTGGACGCCAACTTCAGCTACTAGGGCAAAGTATTCAAAAACTATTTCTCGTGCAGCCGGAAGATCCTCCAACAAGTGCAACGATGTGCGCACCAGCGCATTTGATGTCAATGTTTTAGGATTCCCGCCACGATAAGCACTCACATATTGTATGAATTGTTTGAGTTCAACTAGTATATGTTGTTTCAGCATTTTAAATAATAATAATAATTTTATATGTACTTATATTTGCAATTATAACAAATTAATCGTAAATAATTATTAATTAACTCTTCATTTCACTGCGTTTCAAGCAACATAGTTGGATACACAATTATATAGAGACAAGTTAAGTGGATAGTAATATTTCATTCAGTGCACATTTCTGTCAAAGTTTGCTTGTTGTTTTTGTTATATCTGTGATTTTTAGCACTTTAAGAGGAATGAATACAAGTTCATTTGACAGTTCTATACCAAATAAAACAACGCACAACAGACACCAATTTGCATGAATGCACGATACTGTCGTATTGTAAGAACTCTAATGTATATTATAAACAACAAACGAAAATATATTATTTAAAAAAAATAAACTAAATACATATATAAATTATAAAACTTATTTATGTTTTAATCAAACAAAATTTAGTTTTGCAATATATTTTTGTCTAAATTCATATTACATATCAGTATTTTGTGTGGCAACTACTTGGTTTTCACATGTTACAACAGGAATGGGAATATGCAAATTAATTTGAAAGCCAAAAATATTGTACTTTTTGAAAATGATCAATATAAATTTATGAGCTTAATTGTTTACAGTAGTAATTATTAATTATGTGTTAAAAACGATAAATTATATTAGTTTATGTATCTACTCATATATTTCCAATTTACAATGCCGGTACTATTCTTTAAAAATGCCGAAACTATTAATAATAGTACTACAATATCCATCCCTGCGTGTTCCGAGTCGCTCGCACATTTGAAAATGTTGCTTCAACAAATTTAGTAGTGTGGAAATTTAATAAGGTATTATAAATAATAAGCCAGTGGAATGGAGAACAATACAAAGTCAGACAAATCATGGAAAGGTGATCCCAAAGACTGGGCCAAGGCAATTAAACCGTTGGATGAAAAATGGAAGCTGGTTCCAGCTTTTCTGCAGGTTAAAGGTTTAGTGAAACAACACATTGATTCGTTCAATCATTTTGTTAATGTGGATATTAAGAAAATTGTGCAGGCAAATGAGACGGTTGTTAGTGATGCCGATCCAATGTTCTACTTGAAATATTTGGACGTACGTGTAGGTACACCTGATATAGAAGATGGGTTCAATATAACGAAACCAACAACGCCACATGAGTGTCGACTTCGAGACACAACCTACTCGGCTCCCATAACTGTAGACATTGAATATACTCGTGGAGCACAACGAATTGTTAGAAATAATTTATTGATTGGAAGAATGCCGGTCATGCTGCGATCGTCGAACTGTGTTTTGTCGGGAAAGTCAGAGTTTGAGTTGGCCAAGTTGAACGAATGTCCCTTAGATCCCGGTGGTTATTTTGTTGTTCGAGGTCAAGAAAAAGTCATTTTAATTCAGGAACAATTATCGTGGAATAAAATGATTACAGAGGAATTTAACGGTACGGTACAGTGTCAGGTAACTTCGTCCACACATGAAAAGAAATCGCGAACTTTGGTTTTAAGTAAACATGGTAAATACTACTTAAAACACAACTCCATGGTTGATGACATACCGATCGTCGTAATATTTAAAGCTATGGGAGTGGTATCTGACTTGGAAATAATGTCGTTAATCGGCACAAGTACCGAAACTCAAAACCGTTTTGCACCCTCACTTTTAGAAGCTTTTAATTTAAAGATATTCACCCAACAAAGAGCTTTAGAGTATATGGGCTCAAAGTTGATGGTGAAACGATTTCAAACGGCTGCCTCCAAAACGCCAGCGGATGAGGCCAGAGAATTATTGACTACTACGATATTAGCCCATGTCCCAGTTGACAATTTCAACTTTCAAATTAAATCGATTTATGTTTCGCTCATGATAAGACGTGTAATGGCTGCCGAACTTGATAGCTCAGCCGTCGATGACAGAGATTATTACGGCAACAAGCGACTAGAACTGGCCGGATCTCTAATTTCTTTGATGTTTGAAGATCTTTTCAAGCGCATGAACTGGGAGTTGAAAATGATTGCGGACAAAAATATACCAAAAGTTAAAGCGGCTCAATTTGATGTTGTAAAACACATCAGGGCAGCTCAAATCACAGTGGGCCTTGAGTCTGCTATTTCCTCCGGCAACTGGACAATCAAACGTTTCAAAATGGAAAGAGCTGGAGTAACACAGGTCTTATCAAGACTTAGCTATATTTCTGCCCTCGGAATGATGACTAGAGTAAATTCACAATTTGAAAAAACAAGAAAGGTATCTGGTCCTCGTTCACTGCAGCCCAGTCAATGGGGTATGCTTTGTCCCTCAGATACTCCTGAGGGTGAGGCTTGTGGTTTAGTGAAAAATTTGGCATTAATGACTCACATCACTACGGAAGTCGAAGAAGAACCCGTAGTACGGCTGGCTTTTAACGCTGGTGTAGAAGACATTCGTCTTGTAGGAGGAGATGCAATTAACAATTCTAAGGTATTTCTTGTCTTTATTAATGGTAACATTTTGGGATTAACCATAAGTTACAAACGTCTGGTCGAAGTTTTTCGTATGATGCGTCGCAAAGGTCGACTTGGTCCATTCGTATCAATTCACACATCTCACACTCAACGTTGTGTCTATATCCATACCGACGGTGGTCGTCTATGTCGACCTTATATTATTGTACGAAGGGGTCTACCAGCTGTTAAGCAACACCACATTGAGGAGCTTAAGAGGGGCATACGAAAATTTGAAGACTTTCTGCACGACGGCTTAGTCGAATATCTTGATGTGAACGAAGAAAACGATTCCTTTATTGCATGGAATGAAAACGGTATAGACCCAGACACCACAACACACTTAGAAATTGAACCATTTACGCTTCTAGGCGTATGTGCCGGTTTAGTTCCTTATCCACATCATAACCAAAGTCCCCGTAATACCTATCAATGTGCTATGGGAAAGCAGGCTATGGGAGTTATTGGATACAATCAGAAGAATAGAATTGATACATTGATGTACAATTTGGTATATCCGCAAGCGCCGATGGTTAAATCGAAAACCATAGAGCTAACAGGATTCGACAAATTGCCAGCAGGACAGAACGCGACTGTAGCTGTAATGAGCTATTCCGGTTATGATATCGAAGATGCATTGATTTTAAACAAGGCATCTATAGATCGTGGATATGGACGTTGTCTTATATACAAGAATTCAAAATGTACCGTCAAACGGTATGCTAACCAAACATACGATCGCATTATGGGACCTATGAAAGATGCTCTAACCAATAAAGTGATATTTAAACACGATGCTTTAGACACAGATGGTATTGTGGCACCTGGGGAAATGGTAGTAAATAAGCAAATTCTGATAAACAAGGAAATGCCGGCTGTCACTTCCATAAATCCAATTGAACAAACAGGTCAAGCATCTCAGGTAAGGCGAGATATTCCTTAGTTGTTATTACGCAAAATAATCGTTTCTAATTTATATTCTTAGATATCATACACTGCCGTTCCAATATCATATAAAGGTCCTGAACCCAGTTATATTGAGAAAGTTATGGTTTCTGCTAATGGCGAGGAAGACTTTCTCATCAAAATTCTACTGCGACAAACAAGAAGACCAGAAATTGGCGACAAATTCAGTTCTCGTCATGGTCAAAAAGGTGTTACCGGTCTTATAGTTGATCAGGAAGATTTGCCATTTAATGATTTCGGTATATGTCCTGACATGATTATGAATCCTCATGGCTTCCCCTCTCGCATGACAGTTGGCAAATCGTTGGAGCTATTAGGAGGAAAAGCCGGTCTGTTGGAGGGAAAATTTCACTATGGTACGGCATTCGGTGGCTCAAAGTGTAAAGATATTCAGGACGAACTTTTTAAGCATGGCTTTAATTATATGGGTAAAGACTATTTTTACTCCGGTATAACAGGTGAAAGTCTTGAAGCTTACATATACTCTGGTCCTGTTTACTATCAGAAACTTAAGCACATGGTGCAAGATAAAATGCATGCTCGAGCTCGAGGACCTAAAGCCGTGCTGACGCGACAGCCCACACAGGGAAGAAGTCGCGAGGGTGGTTTACGTTTAGGTGAAATGGAACGTGATTGTCTGATATCATATGGAGCCAGCATGTTGATCATGGAACGCCTAATGATTTCATCTGATGCCTTTGATGTTGATGTATGTAAAACTTGTGGCCGTTTGGCATATTGTTCATGGTGTCATTATTGTCAATCGTCGGCCAATGTTTCCAAAATATCTATGCCCTATGCATGTAAATTACTCTTTCAAGAACTGACAAGTATGAATGTTGTTCCAAAACTAAAGCTACAAAATTATTAAGATTTTGTAATGATGTAAATTATAATAAAATAACAAAAACAATTTTAATTGACAATTAATTTAGTATGAAAATTATGTTAACATAACATATTATGCTGCATTACAATAGGTCTAGCGTTTGACAAGACATGAGATCGGCAATAGGTCCTTAAATACCGTCTTAATCGGGAAAGGTTTATTCAATGAGGAAACTAATAAATCTCAGTGTTCACATCGATATTTTTTAAAATCGATTTTGACATGAAAAGCCTAAAATGGGGTGTAGATCCATAAATAACACTTCAATTGAGAAAATAGAAAAAATCTGTGTTAAACATACATATTTCCACACTGAAAATAATCCATGCATAACTTTACGAAAAAACATTGCGAAACTACTTTTTTCGTAATATATACGAAAATTTCGTGTATAATACGAAATATTGTTTAATCAACCCCTTTTCTAATTTTACGAAAGTACGAAAACCTGTCGTAATATCTTTTTTCGTATATATTAAGAAACTTTGTTTTCTTTTACAAAAATAATTTTGTTAAGACATGTAATATCCCAGCAGTTCGACAAAGAGTCAATGCATACGAAAAAGACAGTAATTTCCACTAATAGTTAACCACCTGGATGATCGTAATTCGTATGTTTTGGGTCATTCGTCACGAATGTACCCTTTGTAATCGAGAATGAAGACAGTCGTCACTTTAGTGTCCTCTTTGTAAGCGAGAGCGGAGGCAATCGTCTCTTTACTGTATCTTTGTGGGGTGTAGAGTGACGATTGACTTCCTCGTAGGACAAGCCCATGTTAAAATGGTTGGTCACCTGGGTAGTCAGGTGGCTAGGGGCCACCACAAGTGGTAGGTTAAGTGGTCAGTTCGGGACTGTCCCGTCGAACTGCTGGGATTTAACGAAAGTAACGAATTTTTTTCGTAACAAAATTAATTAGTAATATACAAGAATTATTTTTGATTTCACAAAAAAAAAAATATTTTGTTACGAATTTTTTTGTTTTTTTCGTAATTTTAAGCGAGTTAAATTAAACGTAATTTTAAATTTACAGGAAATTAATTAGCTGCCTAATTTTCTGTAGTTTTTTATGTTTTTTTTTTTTAACATAATAATTTGTTTTTTTAATTCGCAATCTTTTTCTAAATTTACAATAATTATTTTAAAAGAACTAACATATTTATGTCTTTAAAAAAATCGTAAAATGAAATTTTTTTTTCTATAATTATATAAAATTATTTTGCATTTTACTAAAATATTTCGTACAATTTCGTATATATTACGAAGGAATTTCGTGGTGCGAAACCACGAATCATTTCGTACAATGTACAACATTTTTCGTGTATATTAGCATGGATTATTTTCAGTGCATCAAAAAAATTTTTATATAAAAAAAACGAAAATCGGGTGAAGATGAGCGATACAGTGATTTCTAAAGAACGTCGTTCTTAGTGAACATGATTTGTAAATCACTGTTCTTTAAAACAGTGACTGTGATCACGGTTTTCACTTATAAAGCAAAGCAATATTAATATTTTTTTCGATTTTCGTATTTTATTGGATCTTATATTAAGTATATACATAAATATTACTAAACAAAATAATATTTTTGTCATCAGAGCGAGAGGAGTTTACTATATGAAAAAATGTCGAATTGCATGCATACTATCTTGTAATACGTATTTGATTCAACAAAAATTAAATGAATTTTAGAAGGTAAAAATTCAAACGAACGACATTGCAAGTAACTGTTATTTGATCATTTCAGTCACAGCAGCTACCAGTGAATTATCAATCACAGTGATTAAATCACAGTCGTGAAAATATCGCTCAACTTTAACTTACATATATCTTTGATTACTCATTTCTGCGATATTCGAATCGATTTTAATAAAACTCAAAATTAAATAACTACATAAATAAAATTTCATGTTTTTTGAAATGAGTACTACAAAATATACCATACTTTCAGGTACGTTTCATAAGCAAAAATTTGGTTTAAATAAGATCAAATAAAAATAAACATATAGACGTATGATTTGTTAAAAAGTTATTTAAGAAATGGTAAAATATCATAAAACATCCAAATGCATTTTTAATTTTTGTAATTTAAAAATATATTTTTTTTAATTTGTAAGTTCGAAATTGGAAAATGTTAGAAATTGGCCACAAATAGAACTTTAATTATATTTCTGTTGATCCAAATAATATTATATTGTCATCAAGTGCATTCAAGATACATATTATTATATTACTAGACTATAGACTAAAAATATAGACTTAAGGCCCAACTATAATGTGCATAAGCTTGCTTAAGGTAATGTAACAATCGAACGAAAAGTCTCTCAAATGTTTAAGAAAATCCGAGGAAACTTTTAGGTGGCTATAATGTACTTACGTGTATTCAAAACAATTTAGCTCCATTTACACATTTATGTGACACACGTAATAAAAAAAATACATATTTCAAAATATTTTATTGAAATAAATTAATTTTCTTTTAGCTTTCCATTTTTTTCTTTATTTTCTTTGTGTATAATAAACAAACAATTGATTCCGTACGTAATGTGCTGTCAGTATCGCTCTTTGCTTAAGCAAATAAAATTTGACGAAACTTGACGAAACTCTCTTAAGTACATTATAGTTTGTCACATACATTTTATATGTGTTCGCACAGTTGCTTAAGCTGACTTCAGTTTGTTTAAGCATATTATAGTTAGGCCTTTAGACTATAGATCATATTATTAACGACACCTGTACGTATACGCGTACATGATTTATTGATATTACAAATATTAAGTATACGCCAAATTTAGAGAAGAACTTGAAAGTAAAACTAGTAACAATATTCGCCTTTGCCGAATCTCATATACCCTTCACCATAGTGTGTTTAAAATAAGTTTATTTTATAATTTATTTCATATTAACAAAGGTATCTGGGGTCGTAAAATTATATTGTGGAAATTAATACAAATTGAAATTATAACAAACTCTCACGAAGGTGAAAAAAAAATTAATTTTTTAAGTTTTTTTTTTATTTTATTTGTTTTTTATGACAATAGTTAGTGTTTAAGAGCATTAAATAAAAAAATAACTTCGAAATTTCGAATCTAATATTTGGAAAATTGTCACTAGATGTTTCCATAAATTAGTTAAATTTGATTTTTTAATAAAAATAATAATTACTGTCTCAGCTAGTGATTTATTATACTTAACTCACAAACGTTTTCGAGTGTAACTTTGATTACTTAACACCGACAGAGTTGTTGTTTTTTATGCGTGTGCGCCGAAAAACTTACTACAAATTTTATCTTGTCAAACTTTTGTACTAAATGCAACCAAATAACTAAATAACAGTTATTCTTTCTTCCTTCTCGTTCTATGAGTTTTTATGTGTGCGTGTGTGTTTTTGTGTTAACTTTCTTCTTAATATAGAAAAAAATATATAGAAAAATTTATACTTTATCAGATTTTAAATATCAATTTTGTAAACAACAACGAATATTTTGAATTCATAGGACTACAACGAAATAAAAATTCATTTTAATTGTAGGTATTAAAGAACCAAAACCAAATTATTAACAAGTATACGTGTGTGTACATATATGTATATATTTCAACGAATACTTAAATTACGTAGGAAAAGAAGAATGCCAACACATTTGGTAACATAGGAAGGAAAAATCTAAATAAAAGAAAAGTAATTAAAAAATTAAAAGTATATCTCAAGTGCAAAACTTAATAATGTTTCTGTATGATTTTCTTGGTTTGTTTCCAATATCAAGAGATTCAAATACATCATTCGTGCAAGTGGCTATTTGATTAAAGTGTGAAGCAAAAACCGTTCCACCCACTGTAAAATAAAAAAAATAAACCTGATGAAGAAAATAATGTCATGTGTCAATCTGAAACCTATACATTCGATTTATATACATAAATACGAAAATACACACAAGTTTGTATGTGCGTGTGTGATCAACTCTTTACAATTGTTGGCCAATGTCCATTTAAATCACTGTGGATTGTCGGGACAGGCATAGGAAATATGAAACATTGATATGTATAAACTGCAAATACCTACCTAGTTTTTTTTGCATGTCGCATCAAAGGTGTGACAATTGAAGTTCATCCCACATACAGTTTGACATTTTCGATTTTAATGTTGTGGAAAATCTTTTTTTAATATGCATTAAACAGTTGAACTTTAAATTATTTTTAGTTTACAGAGTACTATTTTCTATTTTCAGACTTGAGTGGATTTTATAAACATACTACATACAGACAAAAGTACTCCTCATGGATTTTGAATGAAGAAAGTTACACGATAAAAAGTTTCCATAAATTGTTGTTTTGAAATCTGGTAACCGCAAACGGGGCAACAGCATTTCACAGCAGTTGAAATTCCCAATTTTGTCAAGTTTATCGTGTTTTAAAACAGCCTCAAAATTACGGAACAAAAGAATCAAGTGACCCGCTCCGAACAGAGCAACAACGATTACAGGGTTGTTGTTTTTGGAGCTGGTGGTGTGGGCAAAAGCTCATTAGTATTACGTTTTATAAAAGGTACCTTCCGAGAATCATATATACCAACTATAGAGGACACATATCGTCAGGTGAGGAATGAAAATTAAATTTGTTTAATTTATAACAATAGAATATTACCGTTTATAACAGTATTTAATAAGAGTTTCATTAAGCTTCTCTATAATTAGATAAAAATGTATTAAAATTTACATTGTGGAAGATTGTGTTATGTTTTTTATTTTTATTTACAGGTAATAAGTTGCAATAAAAATATTTGCACTCTTCAAATTACGGATACTACGGGATCACATCAATTTCCTGCAATGCAACGGTTGTCGATAACAAAAGGTCACGCTTTTATATTAGTATATTCTGTTTGCTCAAAGCAAAGTTTGGAGGAATTAAAACCGATCTGGAACCTTATAAAGGAACTAAAGGTAAAATAAATATTCTTACATAATCTAAAAAGGAAACAAAATCAAAAAAATAAGTCAATTTAAAATTAAAACTTTTTCGGCATAAATTTTTAGGGTCAAGATGTTGTGAATATTCCCGTTATGCTGGTAGGCAACAAATGCGATGAAAGTGATGAATTACGAACTGTATCTGAAATGGAAGGGAAAGCGCAGGCTGCAAGCTGGAATATATCCTTTATGGAGACATCAGCAAAAACGAATCACAACGTTACCGAGCTTTTTCAGGTAATTTAATAAGAGATATTAAAAAAAATAAACATAAAAATGTTTTTCTTTTCAGGAATTGTTAAATTTGGAAAAAACACGCACTGTATCATTACAGTTGGACAACAAAACCAAAAAGAAACAGAAAAAGGAGAAGAAAGCTAAAGAAAGCAATGGCGCAATATCTGAAAACGGCGAAGGTAGTACAAGCGGTGCCAAAGAAAAATGTAAACTTATGTAAGTAGACAAACAGACAGACCACAATACGAGGTGATCATCGTCATCATTGTTAGGAAATACTTGTGTTGCATATGGTACATAAATGTATGATGCACTAGTGAGTGAGTTTTAATTAATACAGTGCGTTTTGCCAATTATGGCGCTTTATTTCGCCAATAAATATACTCGTTTTTTTTAATATAAATATTGTTAAAAAATATTTTTAATATGATTTAACAAAAACCCATCTACAAAAATACTCGTTAAAAATGTATAAATTATTAAAGTTTCTTTTTTATACATACTACATACACATAGGGATAAAAATCAAGAATAAGTTTTTCTTAATTTGCACGATAATAAAAGCGCTCTTGAAACATTGAAAAGAATATTAATAATACCTACGACCTAAACTTAATAATCCAAATCTAATCTAATAATGCACCTAATTTTAGTTTTAACTAAACGCTATCATATTTTTAATTTGTTTCATTCTATTTTTCTAATTGCTTTCGAATCGCACAACTACTGAGACACTAAAAAATAAAACTTAAAATTCATCACTTACTAAACAGATACACAACAACACATAAAAATTCTGCAAAACTCGAAATATTTATAACAATTAAAATAAAATACATATCAATCAAATTCAGTTTGCATCTTGGCCAAAACAATCAATGACCAAACTATTATTACGAAATACATACATACATACTTCTTATACTACATATTACCTACTACTATTACTTTATATAATAAATACATACATACATACATACCTACTTACATAATCGTATATACATATAAACATTATAAATGTTTATGTACATTCTTCGATAGTATGCAGAGTATGAATATAGTTTAATTGAATGTCTATCTATGACTATCCTATGAGATTCCTAAAATTTTAAAGATATTGTAACAAAATATAAATACATACATACTTATGTAAATTAAATTTAGTCCCAATAAAACTAAGCACTAGATAATAAATGTTTCAATATTCATAAACATAAATATTTCAATTACAGTAAAAGCTAGATGAAACATCGAAAAAGTCATTACAAAAAAAGATTATTATGTTTTAAAATTCATTTTCAAAATATTTCGTAATATCGTGTCCAAAAAATCTAATATTTGTATAGTTATTGGTTTTCCATGTTAATTTTAATCTTAAAACAAATTTGGGTTTTTACACATTTCAGTCTTGTTACAATTACTAACTTTATTAATTCGGTTGAAAATTATTTAACCTATTAATTCTCTGTCCTTACCACTACAGGTTTGAAATCGTAATAGTAGTATTACATAATTTCCAAACAATAATAATAATAAGTTCCATGAGTATTATATGTATGTATTTATATTTAACATGCTATTAAAATCACTTGCTCTTGTATGAGCTAAATATGTTCCTTACGTATTTAAAATTGATTACAATGTAAAATGGCAATACATATTGAGGAAATTAACATAAGTTTATAGGAATTTTACTTACAAATATTTTGAGAACTAATGCTGGGTTTTGCAGTTCTCTCTAAGGAAGAAAAGTCACTTAAGTTTTGAAATTTGTATGAAATTTTTCAAACTTAAGTAATATTTTTCCCTTAACTGTATGCTATAAAACCGACCCTAAGTTTAATTTAAACGAAATTCAGGTCCTTAAATTTACATATATAATAATTTACCGAAAACGTTGTCAAATATATATACATATATATTCCTTTAAAATTTATTTTTACCGATTATGTTATGTATGGAGGAAGTCAGTACTCCAACTATAAAACTCGTAAATTTGCCAACAAAGGTCGATTTCGAAAATGTAAAATTTAATAAAATTTGTTTATTTAGTTTGCAACAGTTTAAATGTAAATAAAATTTAATCATTCATAAGTAATTTAACACTTCATATGAATTAATTTATCGGAAAGTTAATACAACTATGTATAACTAATCCTTAAAGAATTATTTCTCGGAATTAAACTTCTGGGAATGTGTTTGAAGAATTGAATTATATTTGAAAAATAATTCAATTAAGAAAAAACTAAGCATTAAATAATTAATTCCTTCGAAAATTTGTGATTAGGGAACCGATTTTAATGCCATTCTTTTCATAATATAGTTATTCTCTCCACTTGTACATCTTTCTGCCTAAAAACCACTTTTATAACGTTTAAAATATTGTTTGCCAAAAATATAAAACAAGTTTTAACAGCAATGTAGGTAGGTATAGCATGATTTAGCTGGAATTCTATTTATTTAATGTGAAACTATCTTTTTCTTTTCTTAAGGGACACAGATTAACCATATGTATGTACTTATTTATGACAAAATATCTATAATTTACAGAATTTTAATATTCCAACGTACTTCTATCACAAACGATAACACAATGAAATTAATTTTATGAGATATAAGCTCAAATTGTTGTTAAGAAATATATATAATATAACAAAGCAAGCTAATTGTATTATACATATGAAAAATGATTTTACTAAAATCTCAACTTTTAAAAACATATTAATATTTTCAAAAAACCTTTTGCCTGTAACCATGTCTACGTATAAGTAATATTAGATTTAATGGATTCAGTATATAAATATTTCAGGTTTTTATGAATCTGCAATTTAAAAATTTATTACAGTTTCATAAAATAATTACGTATGCTATTTTTCTAAAAAGATATGAAATTTTGAGCGATGTATTCTAATTAACCAAATTAATTTAAATAAAAGCTGTCAAATTGTTAGTTGGATTTATCGTTTGTGTTACCGTGCCTTACATTGGATACACTTATTACAAATGTTTGTAATCCATTCAAGGTTTTTGTATAAAATTGCAATGAAATATTTTTCCAATTACTTAGTTTTGTTTGTCCTATTATATTTATACAATCCACGCCTAATATGTATGTGTTTTAAGCCACACAAAAATAAAAATAACATTTATAATAGAATTATACTAAAAAGAAATCCATTGTTTGCTGAACAATTTACCAAAATAAGCATATTTAAAGAAAACATATTTTTTAAGAATAATTAGGCAGTTTTACAAAGCAAAATAAAATATTTATTAAAAGAAAAAAAAAGATAAATACATACATATATACATTATACATACATATAAAAACACGATAATCATATATTCATTATACATACATATAAAAACACGATAAAATAAAAAAACACTTTATAAGTTCAAATAACATTGTTAAATCTTTATTTATTTTTGTTTGTTTGCTTTTTATTGCAGTTATTTTTGTAGAAATTAGTTAGTATTAATTGTTAGAAACTTTATTTGATAAGTATAAAAAGCTTTAATTACTACAACAAAAAAAAAACCTAATTACTATGTTTTAATACATAAATATATTAAATTAAAAAAAAAATAGATTTATAATGTTAGTATGTACTTAATTTGTTTAATATTATACAATTTTAGAAACATTTCTTAAATAATAAAAATGTGCTAGTCGAAGTTGTTATTTCAGTGGGCCATATTTTGCTTAAATCTAAACTGATTTTCTTGTTTTTAACTTTTGCAATCAAAATTCGTACTTTGTATTTGCTTAACAAAAGAAGTACCAAATGCTTTTTTTATAATTCAGTCTTTTTCCTATTTTTTATTTCATTTATTTGTAATACATAGCCTATAAAAGCCAAAATATTGATATTACACAGAAAATTATGCTTGAGATCATATAAAAAATTTTCTCATAGCTTTTCGAATTTTAATCAAACTAAAATATCAAAAGATAACCGGATTAAATTATTAGTTCCATTTCATTTAACGCATTCTATTTCGGCTTATAATGAGTGCCCATTTTATGAATAATTAAAATCATCATACCCGAGCACAATGCAATCACCAACACCGAACTACTTCTACATACACAGTTTAAAAAAACATTTGAATTTATTATTTAATGCTCAGTTTCGTTATTAATTATTTGTATTATTTCTGCACGTGTCTATTAAAAAATCCATTTCGATAGAGGACCAATATTTTAAATAAGATTTATATAATGAACACCTAAATTATTTTTATTGACGAACCACCCCATCTTTCCATTTTTATTAAATACTTATTTCGGTAATATTAAAAAAAGAAACAAAAGTTTAATTAAACAGATATAAATACATACATACATATATGATGTACATACATATATACAAAAGAAAAAAGCATAATTGTAAAAAAGATTTCATATAACATACAACGAATAATTAAATATTTAACATTTTTTAACTTAATATAAATTTGGCTTTTGCATTATAATATTTTTTTAAATCGTTATTATTAAATATTTAAGTAAACGTCTACATCGGTAGACAAAAAACCAAAACAATACATTAGACCACCCCTCGATGTTGATTCTTGCCATAATATTTATAAATACATACATACATATACTTATAGTATAAATACACACATACACGTACATATAATAATTATTACTGCTTTAAGAAAGCAATATACACATAGTGGCATTTTGCCTGAATGTAATTTATATTTCAATATGGAACGGCAAATAAAGCGGTGTTCTAATGTATCCGATGTGCACACAAGTGCATATACATACATATATAATTGTATTCTTTTTTATTTAACTTGAGCTTTAGATTTAAATTATAATTAATTCTTTTCTCAAATTGCTTTGAAAGTTAATAGAAAAACAAACATATTACAAAAAAAGGAAATGCTTCTTAAAGAACTTATTTAATAAATTAAAAATTTCTCCCAATGTAGTTTTTAAACCGTTAATGAAATAAATATTACAATATAATAAAGTGAAAATATAACAAAATACATACTTTATGATCGGTAATATATAAATAGTTTGAACAATATACAAAATACATACATACTTCTATTTAAATATTACTAATTATTACATGTACAACTAAAACATAAATACATACATAATAAACAATATTAATTTAATAAAAAACATTTGAAAAATAAAGTAATTTAAAAATAAAAATAATCATTTTGTTTCATTAGTTTAATGAATATATACATTTAAAAATTGAAGAAAGTTCTTAAACTGCACTTTTTCCCTCTAGTTCGATGTTTATTCAGTATTAGAAAAATTTACCTTTGAGTGTCAGAGCCGTGCTTTTGCAGCAAATTGATGAGAACATTTTTAAAAAATGTATTAAACAGATGACAAAGAAGAGAAAACATAAAAATAATTTAGAAATTATATATGGGCAATTTCGTGTCAAGTCGATTTGAATGAATTTTTTCATCTCTATCGGTCAAGAACTGCCGGACTTAGAGGAGTTCAAAGTTGGACATTTTGGTGATACCTATTGGTCCTAATAATAATTGTCCAAAGGTGTTCAGATTCATTGTTTCCAAAAAAAAATTTATTTTTTTTAATAATTTTTTATAGATATACCACTCGCATCCCACTAAGTGACCACAAAGCTCTTAAAGGAGATGGTCTAAGCTTTCTTTTGAGCAAAAATACAACAAAAACGTCCATTTCGAAAAAATAGGGGAAATTTAGTGTCAAATATTGAAAAAATCTTATTCTTCAGTTAAAAAATATTTTTTTTAATTGATATCCCACCCGCAACCCATTATGGGACTATAAAGACCTTTTGAGCAAAAAAATTAAAAACAATTTTTGGCAACAAACTTCTTTGGACAATTTTTGCTAGGACCAATAGGTGAAAAGTTACACCCATTTTAATAAAATCCTGTATGACCAAAATGTCCAACTTTGACCACCTCTAAGTCCGGCAGTTCTACTATCCAATAGTACTATCCTTGGTGCAAATAAAAAAGTATTATAATTAAATATTCTTCCCAATTACAATTAATTAAATATTCTCCAATTACAATTACATACTTGTGATATTGCTCAATTAAACATTACAAATAATTTTAATTTTCCAATGTTCAGTTACAAGTAATTGTAATTGGTAAAGCTTCAATTACAATAACTTCCTAAATGATTGTAATTGAAAATGTAATCGCCAAGCCTGTCATAAAAGTAGAAATGTTTGGATTATCCAATGAAATTTGGTTTAACCGAATAATCCCATGACAATGATATTCACAGTTAAACCTGTTGTAAATTTAAAATTTATTTTATTAGTTTTCATAAATATAAAACATTGGTAATGATGATTGCTTTTATAAAATAATCGTACATACATAGCTTTACTCTTGTAAAAGATTCAAACCCAAAATTGTTTTAACGACTCTATAACTATAAATCAAAGGTGTACTGGAAAATGGCATATGATAAAATATATAAATAAATAATTTAATAAAAATCAAATACAAATCGTAAAAATATTTTTTTTTGTTTGCTTTCATAAACAAACTTTAAGCGAATACTAATATCAACATAATTTAGAACACTTATAATAATGACTTTAAACTGCAAAGCAGAAATAATATTAAATATGTACTATGAATCATCGGGCAAATCTTCAACCGTAACATTGGTGTTTTCATTTAACGGCTTTTCATTTGAATTATTATTATTTTGTTTTCTACTGTCCTTACATTTATCAAGAGTTGGTGAAATATTTTTGGACGGTGGTGGTTCTATAGCTTCTTTTAGGTCTTCTACTCCTGACACGGCTGCCAATGATGCTGTATTTCGTTGAGGTGCAGCATTTATTGCATTCAATAATAATTTCAAATTATCACCAGATATGCGATCACTTTGTGAGTTTGTTCTGCTTTTAATAGCTGCTTGCTCTGGCTGATAAGTTTGATTCCGGTGCATTAAATGTGCCCATGCAGAGGGACTTAATATATATTTAAAAGTTAACTTTAAAATATACCCAATTATGCAAACTAGAAGAATTCCCGACAATATGTTGTAGGGAAACCCTAGCGCACCATTGAATGATGTTAACGTTATGGTGCATTGCTCTAAAAGCACTTGTAAATATTTGAGGAAAATGTCATTAAAATACATTATTAGCACATGATCAGGCCTGCAAAAACCTAAAGACAATTTCGCTGATTGTCTACAAAAAAATAATAATAAATATGCACAGTAATATTTAACTTTTAATTAACTTTTAATTACTTTAATTTTTGCTGTTGTAAATCCTGAGGGTCATCACTAGAAAATATGCCTTTCAAAAATTTTACGATCCTTGATTCTTTAATGACTTTATCGCTTCCCTTGTCGCGATTTAAGATTTCCAACATTTGATTTACTTCCAGTTCCTATAAAATTGAGTAATCGTTGAGTAAAAACAAACAATATAAAAGTTGTTTTGCAATTACCCTATTGCATTCCAGGTAAGTATGTAGGTATCCATATATAAAGATGCCGCCAAAAATCAAAGACAACCAACCAATATTAAAGCGATTGTTTAAAATCCAGGCAATTAGTATGACAATAACAACAACTAAAAGAAATCGTACCTGACAAAAAAATAAATACATTTCAATTTCGAAATCCATATGTATCATCCGACTAACTTAAAGTTATTTCATACAACTTGGAATATTAGTAGAAACTAATGAATCTTTTTGTTTCAAAAATAAATACCTCAGATGTTTTTGTTAGATGCAACATATCATAAAATATTTCAAACACTATTTTTATGAATCCGGATGATGCTTCTGTTGTATGTAGTTGCTTGTGACCATCGCTGAACATATTTGGAGCACGCACCTTATTAAAAATATCCGCTAGTATGTTGTCTAAATCACGAGGGTCTTGCAGTTGTTCTAGCTTATCCAGTTGAGATGACTCAACAGTAAACACAACAGAACGTTCATATACTTGTAATGTTGAATCATACTAAAATTTTAAATAATTATGTTTGTTTAAAAATATATTGGTTTTCTTTATTTGGAATAAAAGCATTTATACATAAATACATGCATACAAAACTGTTTATTGTTAGATGATTTATGAAGTTGTGGTATGTTCAAAATTACAATAAAATAAAGAACTAAAATATAAACATCGGGCAACAGATTGATTTTTTCAACTTTGAATGGAAATTTTGTTTTAAATTTTATTTATTTATATTTGCATACATGATGAGTCTTTAACCATTTTCATAATATTTTTTTTCCAATTTAGCGCGCATTTATTAATTTCATTTACTTGAATATAAAAATGGGAACCCCATTTCTACCATATACAATGTATTTATATATTAGAAATGAGTGAATCATAAATACTATTTGAAAAAAATCAAATGTTTTATTTATTATTTAATTGTAAATATTGAAAATTTTTGATTTCTTAAAAATTTGTGCCATCTAAAATATATTTCCTTAGTTAGTTTTAGACACTAATGAACTAAGAAAAGTTCATATTTTGTAGGCACCTAGGTATGTATATTTAATTTTTAAATTTACAAAAAACGTGTAATAAACCTTGTAATATACCTACACCATAAGTAATAAGTTTTGGTTATGACGTCATGTAATCATGAAATTATGTTCGATTGATTCCGTTTTTAATCTTACCTTGAAATGTTTCCGATTAAACAACATTGTAATGAACTTTTTAAAATATATTATTGACGCTGCATCTTCTCCAATTGTTTGTTGTTGTTCCTTCAATGGTACTTCAGAATTGCCAGAAATAGTTATATCGTCTGAACATTTACAACATTTACCAATTGCTGTATGAAATGCATTTGTACCTAGATGATCTCTTGCCCAGGCATCTGCATCCATCCAACTATCTTCCTCAGCGTCTGCATTTACACAATTGATGAACCATAATTGTATCGCAACTAAATAAAATATTACAAATTTAATATCACGCTTCATATCGCAAAGCACGAAAAACAACGCAAATCTAAAATTTTTTTGCCACTATTTCTAATGTGCCACAACAAAAACAAAACAGAATTTCAACTCTGTCAATAAAAAATATAACCAAAATAAACATGAAAACAGAAAGCGCGAAATGCATTCATACCACTGGTGCCAATTTGGCGATTTTTATTCAATCTAGACCAATTTATAAGGTGTGTTTGCGTACTTTACAGTAAATAATATCCAGTAGCTTTACGGTTGAGAATAATTTTAAATCTGATCTCATTAAAAAATATATTAAATGTTAAAAGTACGAGAAAGCCAATTTTCAAGATTTTCTCAGTTTCAAATTCTATGCATTATATATATATATATATATATATATATATATATATATATATATATATATATATATATATATATATATATATATATATATATATAAAATTAAAGGAATATTTTTGGTTACATCTTGAACATAATTAATCCCGCTTTATGTAAGATGTCTGGTCACGTTATGTCACAATCTTAAGTTTTAATAATAATTATTATTAAAATAAATCGCACGAAATCGCTTAAAGAAGCACAACAAAATTTGATCAAAATTTTGACTTGTTGTTGTCGTTGGGCCGAAAATTGCGACCTGTACCTTGCGCACAAGGTTTACATGGACAGCCAGCCGGACGGACGGGCATGGATTAATCGACTCAGAAAGTGATTCTGAGTTATAGCTTCATATGTTAGCTTTTTGGAACTTTTAGCGACGATCGGTACGTGTTAACGTCTTTTAATCGAGCTCAAATTTCGCCTATCTCAATATCTGGAAAGAGGAATCATTTCATGGGGTTAAGACGAACAAGAAACCAACATCGACTTTTTGCGGTCACCTCAATAGTCACCTAAAAAAATCGGACCCTTTCTTTCATATATGTAGGTATTTATTACCTACTTTATATATCAGGTTTTGTAAAAAAGTTTTATATTAACGAACTGTTATTTTTATCGCTTTCTTACTTCGTATTCATAAAATAATTATTGGTTATTATCATCAGAGATACAAGCCGATGCGAAATGATCGGCGGCGGCGGCGCAACCATTTTGGGTCGGCGGCGGCGGCTTATTACAGAAAATATCAGCGGCGGCTAAATTGTCGGCTTAATTTAACTTTTTCTTTAGAAATTGACCTTATAAGGTTTATTATATTGAAAAATCTTCGTATAATAGTCTGTTACATAGAAACCTGTCTCTATATAAGTTTTTTTCTGCAGAAAATGGACATTTATAGTAGTTTTCACTATTTTAATATTAGCACAATATTGTGTGGCAACTCTTTTCAATTTGCCATAAGAATTTAAAATAGTGGCAACTCCGTTCAAATTGGTGAAATTATGTTCTGAAATACATGTGCGATTCTAATCTTTGTCAGCGGCTACGTTTTAGCCGGCTTAGCTTTTGATCCGAAAGAAGTCGGCGGCGGCGCGGCTTGCAAAATATTACCGGCGGCCAGCCGCAGCCGATTTGAGCCGTCTCGGCTTGTATCTCTGATTATCATTCCTACAATAAAACATCAACTTTGTTACGCCGTTCTACTAAAAAAAAACAATATGTAAAAGTTTATAACAAGTTAACATTTATTTTTTCTTGTGCTTTTTGCCATCTTTAGCCAGTTCTAATCCTAAAATACATTTTGGTGGAATCTTATAAGTTTCGGTTAGGAGAGTGTACACAAAACGAACTTGATTGCCTTGTATTTGCAACATTTCGCGATTCTGATTTGGCAATGTTACAATTGTTGTGCTTGCAGCTGCGCCTTGCTTACAAAGCTTTATAAATTCTGACAGAATTATTCCGTATGATTCAATATTGCTGACCAAAGTAACTTTTTTGTTGCCTGATCTGGTGGCTAATGACATTTGTATCATTGGTTTGTTACCCTTTACATCTTTCGCAGTGCACATCTGGTATGAATGATCCATTTGAGATATCACGGCATTAGTAATTCTACTTAGTGGAGCTGTTTTAGCATTGCAAATTTTCTCAAGACAGTCATCTAAAATATAAGACTTTTCCTCGTCTTTGGGATCTTTCGAGATGGGTAAATTCTGCTTGTTAACATACTCCCTTATGACCTTTTTTATTTGTGATGCTGGTATTCCACCACCTCGTTTGTAATTCAGTTTAGTGAAGAAAGGAGCAGTAATATCAGTAACTATATATAGTTCAGTCAGCTCCGAGTGAAATAGAGGATTTTCAGAAGAGCCATCCGCCGAAGTTGGTTTCTTATAATCAGTTATAAAATTTACCAACTCCGGGTGCTCAAAGTCAATGGAAGTAATTTTATCAACACCCTTAGTTTCTTCTCTTACCACTATAAATCCTTGATCGATCATTTCGTTCAAGAAATTTGATAGTTTCTTATATTTGGTCCTTTTTAAATCCAACGCTTCCTGTGATTCAGGCACAACATAAAGGCGAAAGAAATTACTTGTCAATAGAGGCAATTGCAAGTTTTTCCCATGATTTTTAAGTGCTGAAAGGAATGCGTTTTTCAGTACAATTTCCGGAGTGTTTTCAATGTTTTCTCCTTCGGCATTGCCCATTTCCTTATCGTCAATAATATTGTCAAAATTTTCGTTTATCTCCAATTCGGAAATAGGTGTTTCAGCTTCTGCTTGAATATTAGGATTTTCTATCTTTTCCCGTATATTTTCTTGAGCAGCACTTGAATCGTTTGATTTTTTATTTGCCTGTTTAGATCCTAAAGCTGGAAAGTCATCATCTGTTAACTTTGCACTTTTAAATTGCGGAACCTGTTGGGCCAAAGATGGCTCATGAGCCCACAATTTATCTCCAAACAAATGAAGCATCTTTACAGCTACACCATGACCGCCACACATGTACAAATCGTCACTCGATCTCGGTAAATACCCAACACCTACCGCAGATTTATTAGAGGTCAAATTAACGCCAACTACAAGGAATAAATGTAATATTGTAAATAAAATAAATTATCAATATTATTCCTCATTAAACTTAACCCAATTGTCCTTTTTTGTAGTGGCCATATATATTCATGCCTGTACCTTGCGGTATTACTCCGGGTAGCATTAGGTCAGCTCCATTATTCAATTTGGGTAGTACTCCAGCATGAGTTGTGAAGTACGGCAGCAGATCTGTAACCTGTCAATATAGAGGTCATTACAATTCCGTTTGCTTTTAAAGTCAACCAATTTTGTACCTGCCACAGACTATATATCGTGGGCACCAATTTATTTTCTTCATTTTCAAAAAACATTGGCATTTTATCCGCGCAATATACATTTGTCTGAAAATCCCCATGTGTCACCAATTTGAGAACATTAACACTTGATTTGGGAGCAATCAAAAGGTCTGGATTTGTGTTGGGAAATTCTCTTTGAATCCGTTGTTTAAGTTTCTTAACGTCGGAACTCTTAAGTGGGGCATTACTTTTAACTTTATATGGTTTTAAAAACATTTTCTCCAAAACTAGTAAAATAAAAATTTTCGTTGTCTTTATTTTACGTTTTACAAGTTGCCAACCATAGTTAATTTCACATGGCATACTTAATAAGGTAACAGCACCTGAGAGCAAACGCACGATTGTCAATTTTTTCTATGTAGTTTGACAACCGCTCGATTCAAGCCTTTATACAAGTCTATGTATAAAGCGACACGGCCACACATCAAATTTGTTTGACTCAAACGGTAAGTTTTTTGATTGTGTTATTAAAAAAACTCACACCGAATATATACATGTGAGTTTTTTCACTGACACAATTAAAAAACTTACATTTGAGTCAACAAATTTGATGTGTGGCAATGTCGCTTAAGAAATTGTAAACAATGATCAGCTGGGCTAGGGCTAATGATGCCACCTTCTATTCAGTGCACTCTTTTAATTTCCCATACATATCCATATGACTTTTTTGCATAGTACACCAGTGTTGCCAATAATACCTAATATATAACCGTAACACCACACAGTCAAACAGCGGATAAAGGATAAACTGTTGAAGGAATGACGGCACAGATGAATTGTGTATAAATAACGGATACAAACATGTGGGAAGAATACTTTAATTCAATATTTGTGTACACTTTCAATTAGACTCGGTTTGTTTCAAGATAAATAAATCAATATTGAATCATGGATACGACTTCAAGCGTCGTTTATCAATTTGCCAAACGAAACAAACGCATAAATCAAATACATGGAATAGTAAATTGTCAGGATTATTGTTTTTCTTTAAAGTTTATTACACGATTTACTTCAATAACTTAACTTTCCTTTAAGGGAATTTACATACAAAAAAGTTAGCAACTATTTTTTCATTATAAACATATCGTCACCTAAAACGCAAACGGCCCTATCTAACATTTTAAAAATTTTACAGGAGAAGCAAAACACTATTTACATTGAAAAGTTTGTTTCTATCAGCGCGATATATTTTTATTCAACAAACAAATTGTTTAATAGTGAAAACTAACATTTGTTATGGTAGTTGACAATGGCGTATATATATAAAAATGGATAAATTGGACCTTTTACCTTATATATTTAAATGTTTTTGTATATAGGGTCTTCTGTTTTTTGTCAATAAAATCCTTAATTTAGTTTCGAGAAGTCCAATTTTTTGTGTGAACGTTTGTTTTGATGAAATTAGTTAGTTAGGGCTGTTTACGTTTCAGGTACGTTATGTATAAAAAGCAATAAATTAAAAAAACTAAAGAGCTTGTACTTAAAAATTTGCCACAGAAAAATCAAACGTTCTCAAACCAATGGGAAGATAATTGTAAAGCCCACATAACCCATTTACAGCCAATCAAAAAGTACACGTTAAATTTTTGAAACTTCAAGGTATATTTATTTTCAACAATGCAAAAAAGCAGAAACGTAAAAAAAATGCTAAAAAATATTAATAATTAGGACATTAGAGGGAATTTCCGTTTTTATGTAGCTCGCGTTTTTTAACGGCTTAGAGCCGTCACAGAAACTAGAAACAGAGTGAAATGGCAGACACGGGCCTTGCTATGTTATCAGATTATTTTTAGACCGTTTGTTTCAAATTAATAACTGGCATACTTTGTCTAAAAAATTACAACAAATTTATTTTATAACATGTTTTTAGTATATTTTTGGCCACTGAAGTTTAATAGATTATTACAACAATAACAATGAATTTAGTTAAATTGTTTGATTTAATATTTATTCTGAGCACTTTCCTCTACTCAATAATGCAAAAATAAATAAACCAGAGTTAACCTTTTTTTAATACAGCCTTAAAAATTAAGTGTTCCCAAATTGGCACAGCGACCGTAAATGGGATAATCTAACTAAAGGGCCAATTAGTAGAGTTGCTGACTCTAGGTATAATTCGATTACAATAACGAATAGACCTTGAAAATATAAATAAATCGAATAAATCAGAAGAAGAAGATAGTCAAATTAAATTTTACCTATGATAAAGTGAAATTAAGTTTCTAATTTTAACATAAGGAAAGGAACATTTCAAAAACATTTTGATATGGCCAGGGGTATGATCAGATATCTTCAGGTTGAATATAACATATCGATCTAAAATCAATTTATAAATATCGCCTTTTATATATGTACATGTACACAATTATTTTAGATTAAATATCTACGCATATTCCATAAAAACATTTATTGTACACAATTATTTTAGATTAAATATCTACGCATATTCCATAAAAATTGCTTTAGTAAGTTTCATTTAAAACATTTATTTTTTTCATGTAATTTCAATATAACCGACTAATACAGTAGCAACATTTCATGGCAAAATAATAAATATGTAACACCTAATTATGCATATGAAGAATATAGATTTCATGAAAAGTAAATTTGCTATTATGTGCTGATTACAATTTTTCTATGTAAGATTATCCAATTTAATTAAATGCCCCGTAGTTTACTTGGCTTTGCCTTGTGCAGCAACTGCTTCAATTGCCTTTTTAACGGTTTCTTCGTCTCCCAAGAATTTCATAGAAACGACTGGTTTGAAATTCTCATCCAATTCATAAACAAAGGGAATGCCTGTGGGCAAGTTCAATCCCATGATAGCATCTTCAGACAAGTCTATAAAAATTAACATAAAACTTTAAATATCCACAAAGTTTATCAACTTATATTAAGATGACTTACTATCCAAGTGCTTAACGATACCACGCAAGCTGTTACCGTGGGCAGCAATCAAAATGCGTTTGCCTTCTTTCATTTGGGGAATAATGACATCATTCCAATAGGGAAGGGTACGTTCAATGGTAAGTTTCAAAGATTCAAACATGGGGAATTCTTCCTTTTTGGGTTCAGTGGCATAGCGAGGATCCTTTACGATATTGTCGTAATAGGGGTGACCTGGTTCCATTGGTGGTGGGGGAGTGTCGAAGCTACGGCGCCAGATTTTGACTTGATCTTCGCCGTACTTGGCGGCAGTTTCGGCTTTATTTAAGCCTGTCAAACCACCATAGTGACGTTCATTTAAGCGCCAGGTTTTACATACAGGAATGTCTGTTTGACCAATTTTAGTAAGGATGGCATTTAATGTGCACTGGGCACGAGTTAAAACAGAAGTATGAGCGACATCAAATTTCAAACCAGCAGCTTTAACAGCTTCGCCAGCGGCTTCAGCTTCTTTCTTTCCTACATTTGCAAATAAAATTATATATTTTATAATCAAAAGCTAATTCTTCTTATTCCACTTACCGTTTTCACTTAGTTCGGCATCAAACCAGCCACAGAACTGATTTTTTAAATTCCACTCGGATTCACCATGGCGTACCATGACAATCTTGTATTTACCAGCAGCCATTATTTTGGAGCAGTTTTTTGAATAATTACGAGAAATTTGAATACAAGGACCAGTAGCTAACAAAGCAGCAGTACCTCTCGCGACAATCCCCACCGACAATTGAGCTAAAGTAATGCCTGCTTTGACCTTAATCATGTTCACAAGGTCATTTAAAACTTTTCTAATCAATTGCAATAGTTTTGTTTCAATTTGGCAGCACCGTCAATAAGTGCTCCTTTTCAAAAGTTGTTTTATGTTGACAGTTTGCTAGAAATTAATGCAAAAAGAAATGTCAAAAATCCCCTTTCTACCCTCACGAATATTTCAAATCAAAATAATGCAATAAACAAACTGATTTTAAATGTTTTATTTTTTTATGTCAAATTTTAATGTAACTTAAAAGTACCTTAATATTTCTATTAATCAAAAATTAAATTTTTCAAGAATATTTCCAAAGGAAATTTCCAAAGGAATTCATATCCTTTGTTAAAAGTTAAAGAACAGTATAAAACATAAAAAATATGGACAATTCAACAGTTAAGATCTCAAGCAATTGGTCCCAGATTGGAGGATGCCCATTTTCTCAGGCCGCCCAAATACAGGCAGCAGACCCGGACTTTTTTGCAAGGTAAATATTTATCATATTTTTATCATATGATTATGTATATGTATCTAATCATAAACATTTAGACCATCATTGGATGTTTTGGTAGACGAAGAAAAGTCTATACTTTTAAGCAAAGGCGATTCTTCAGAAAACTGTGAACTAGATGTAGAAATATTTCCACAATATAAGATTCAGGCTGCTTCTTTTGTATGTAATGTACCCAAGGTTGAAGTTTTCCTAGATCCCGTAAAAGAATATTTGGAAACAATTTATGGAGTTGTTGTGGATGATTCAGATGATCAATTTAAAAGTTATCGATATGATGTTGAAGTTGAAAAATCTGGGGTGACCTATTTAACACTGAAGGTAATATTAATTTAAGTAAATTTAAAAAATGGATGTTGGTTAGATGGGAATTGCTTTGTTTAGTAGTATCTATAATACATATTATGTTTTATTGGCTATTATAAATAATTTCAAGTACTAAATAACCAAATAATAACTATACGAAATAAATATATTTTTTAATTATGGCTCTATTGTATTACACCGACTCACACTGTACGGAAAGCAAAGTTGTGTTTTTGTTACACCCCTCAAAATGTACAGTGTCTCTCATAAGTATTCGAATTTAGGTAAACTATGAAAAGAAACCAAATTTAATAATATATTTTGTGTGGAAAATAAATAAATTAATTTGTTATATTGTCTAGATAGTCCTTATGTTTGATATCACGCTTTTTAAAACTTGAAAAATTTGCCTTGACTTAAATTAATTGTGCTTTTTTAAAAAAAGTCCATGAAATTGCCTCACAAAAGTATGCGAATTTTTCCTGTATTTCGTATTTGATCATATTATACGATACACAAATTTTAGAATCGCATGGTTTTATGCTTAATATTGTTTTAAGGGGTTACTATCAACCGCATGGATATATTTTTGACCCATTTGGTCCACAATTTTGGGGGATTTGTACCCTCTTTTCATGTAATATCATTAAAATGGCGATTTTTGGCTATATTTGTAATGTTTTCACCCTTTTTCCAGAGATAAAACCAAAATTTAATATTGGAATGTAATAGAACCCATAGGATATCTAAAAATAATATTTTTTGTTAAAGGGTCCGTACTTAATCGTTCCAAGATGTATTTTTGGTATCGTTTTTCAGTTTCTAATTGAATTATCTGGATCATAAGTCCCTTTTCGTACCTCTAGGGACCATATTTTCCGACAAAGTTGTCTAGTGTATATTCATGTACATATTGGCACTAATGTATTTTAAATTTTCAATATATTATAGCGGTATACAACCCCAAATCATGCCTTAACAAAACGTCATCCTATATAGTAGATTTCAGTTTTTACTACTCGTAACTTTCACGCTTATGTTGCCCGTTACAATAACACTGTAAGTTCTAAATTTTGGTTTTAATTTGATCATAGTAAATAATATTTAAACACATATCAACATTTTTGATGTGATCATAATGATATCGTGCCATGCAGCATGGAGGCCATTGGTATATAAAAATAATGATTTTACTATTTTGAATGGTGCTTCTTCGAGGTATGTTTTGGAGTTGTACACTTCCACAACACATTGAAAACTTAAAATGTATAAAAGCTGATATCTAAAAGAATACATACCAGAAAACTTTCCCCGAAAATAGTTGATCCTAGTATTATAAAAATGGACTTAAGTTCCAATATATTGAATTAGCGACAGAAGAATGATCCGAATAATTTATCTTGGAACGTTTAAATACAGATTCTTGTAACAAAAATATTATTTTTAGATACCCCAAGGGGTCTTTTAAGTCCCAATATCAAATTTTTGTTTTATCTCTGGAAAAAAGGATACAAATTTACAATTATGGCCAAAAATCGCCATTTTAATGATATTACATGAAAAGAGGGTACAAATTCCCCAAAATTGTGGACCAAATGGTCCAAAAATATACCCTTTCCGTGGATAGTAACCCCTTAAAACAATATTACGCATAAAAACCATTCGATTCTAAAATTTGTGTTGCGTTTAATATGATCAAATATGAAATACAGGAAAAATTCGTATACTTTTGTGAGGCAATTTCATGGACTTTTTTTAAAAAAGCACAATTAATTTAAGTCAATGCAAATTTTTCAAGTTTTAAAAAGCGTGATATCAAACATAAGGACTATCTAGACAATATAACAAATTAATTTATTTATTTTGCACACAAAATATATTATTAAATTTGGTTTCTTTTTATAGTTTACCCAAATTCGAATAATTATGAGAGACACTGTATATGTACATGTACATACATATGTACCTTGCTTAGTTTTATGATGTTATCCAAAATATTTTTTTGAATCAATATTGGATTTCTGAAGCCGCACCCAATGGTGCATTAATCATAAATAACCATACTTTAATTGCCATATTCTTAAAAAAATATGAAATTGTTAGGTTTTTTCATTAAAAAACATTTATCATAAATTGTCAATTTTTGTAACACAAATATTTTGGGCAAAATCGTATGACTTTTTTTGTGAGTCGGTCTAGTATACATAAATACCTGCATATCGTCACCTAAAATGCAAACATTTTTAAAATTTTACAGGAGAAGCAAAAAACTATTGAAATTGAAAAGTTTGTTTCTATCATCGTGATTTATTTGCAGTAAATAAACATTGTTTAATAGTGAAACCTATCAGTTATTATAATAGCGTATATAAAAATTGATAAGTTGGACTTTTTACCTTTAATATTTAAATGTTTTTGTAGATAGGGCCTTTTCTTTTTTGTCAATGAAATCCCTAATTTTTTTCGGAGGAGTCCAATTTTTTGATGCAATACATTATAATCAACAATAAAATCTATAAATTGAATTTTTGGTTAGTTAGGGCCGTTTGCGTTTCAAGTGACGATATGTACATATTATTTATTTTTTTTTTTTTATTTTACAGTTTTTAACAGATTTCTGTGAAGTTTGCATATTTGGCATTATGTTACATACCGCCCCCAATCCAAATGGCATAACAACCTTATTACCGAATACTGCTTGCATAAATATTCAGAACGTTCAAAATATGTTACAAAATTCAACAAAGCAACCAGGTCCAACTTCAGAAAAGTGTAAACAACTATTAGAACTTATGACAAAAGCAAATCACTCTAATACGTTGACATTGGATCAGCTTATGAAACAAAAAATGAACATTGACCAAATCAAGACTGATAAAAATTCAGGAAATGAAGATATTTTAAATGAATTAAAATCGCACATTGACGATCGTTTCCAACAAATGGAACAACGCATAAACAGATATTTGGAGCATATGGAAGAACGACAGATGCAGAAGTTGGATGTCATACTAAATACTTTACAGCATATTAAGAAATAAAGTCATTGATTTTTAATAAAACTAATCATATTGCCGTTTCGTCAATTTTAGAAGTAGTAGAAACCATCTATAAGTAGCATTACGTCGTAAACCCAAATTAAATTTTAGCACAGTGATTTTATTTAGAATTTTTAAACAATATTTATCTATAATTGACGTTGTTACAAATCAATTCTGTTCTAATGTTGCTGTAAATTAACAACATGAAAATATACCTAGGTGTATTTCGATTTTCTTTCAAAACGAGTTACAAAATAGCCAGTCTTAACAGCATGTGTGTATGATGTTAAGTTGTTTTTTTAGTATGTATAATGAAATACGATCAGGTAAATAACTTCTTACAAAACCAAGAAATTCAAGGAAATGTATGCTTTATTAAATTTCATTTTCTGTGCTTTAACGTTTTATATTATTATAGTATATATTTTTACAAGAATTCAGTTAAATGAAATATTTTTAAAGATTTCATTATAATATACTAAACGTTCAACTAAGTATAAATTGTTTTAAAAATAGAGGCATAAAATAACTTTATCATAAATCAATTCAGTAGTGGTGTAAAAATTAACAAGTTATTTGCAACAATTAAATATATTGAACAACGCAAAAAATAAAGTAGCTTTACTCATCGTGTACTTAAGGCTAAAAAATAAGAGAACAGTTTTGATAGTATCGACGACTTCTCAAGAATTATATAAAAATAGAATTGTGGTGATAATTATTCGGAATCCGAATCAGAGCTAGAATTATTCTGAGATGCTTCTTTATTTGATTGCTTTGGATTTGGTGGATCATAGTAATGCAGCTGCTTACGCCATATTTTAATAAGACCATCAAACGCACGTCTGCTGTATTTTCCATATTTATTTGGTGTGCGGGGATGGTCACGAGTTCTTTCTGAACGTGGCACAGTCTCAATGTAACGTTCATAAGCCACAGTATTTTTACCGTAATCAATTTGCTTCTGACGTCTGGAAAGAATTGATGGGTCGGATTCAGCATATGAAGATGACGAAGAAGATGATGAAGTGAAACTGTTTTGTCTAGGACGCTTTTCGTTTTTACGACTATTAAAATAGCGTCCGCTATTATCACCTTCATTGCTGCTACTTCCGCAACTGCTGTTTGGGCTATTCGAACGGCTTTCAATACTAGGAGTTTGTGAATGACGCCTTTTAAATGGTGTCTTTAATTTCTCTTCTTTTACAAGCTTCTCAAATTTTTGCTCATTTACACCATCCAAAAACTCCAAAGAAATGTCGCGGCGTGAATCATTCGCATCAGATAGACTGCTATTAATTGCCCCTTTTGACTGTAATATTTCAATTTGATTATTACTTTAAGAATAAACTACAACTTAATAATTAATACTTACATCTGCATCAACTTCTTCTGCCCAGGTACGGCTGCCTGCGCCAACATTGTTACTTTCCACAGACATTGTTATTTGTTCACAAACCAACATTCTAACTTTATATTTACCAATAGTATTTCATATAGTAATTACTATAGCACAAATACTTTTATTTTAAATCGATGTATTGAGTGAATTTCGTTCTTATTTCTTCCCAATTACAGCAAACACCTTTCCAGTACGACCTTTCTTTCCTATCTAACTTAATATTGTAATAAATACAATGTATCATTGCATTTCGTTGTTCTTCCAAATTCGCGCGTTTTTCACAATTCCATTTTGTTCATACATTCGCATTTTATTTTTCTTTTTGAATAGAGAGTATAGAAAACAGACGATACGAAAATTTAACATTGTTTGTGGTGAATTTAAACATTTATTTTGCAGCTTGTCTTCTTCCGTGGTGAAAACCAATTTTATTATCAGATTAAGCAACAGTATAAATTTTAAATAAAGTAAGTATATTTAATACTTAATACCCTTAAAGTGGATATTTTTCTTTTCTAACTAACTAATATTTTTTTATTTTTTGCATAGTTGTACTTAATTCTTTAATACTAATATTTTTGAAACCTAACGAAAAATTTTTGGTACATATGTATAAGCACATACATACATATGTATGTACATTAGACCGACTCCAAAAAATGGTGCTTGAGTTACCCCCCTCAAAATATTCGCTGTTATGTAATATGATACCGAAAATATTTTGGGTTTAGTGTTGTCCGTTCGTGAGCTGTACACTTTTCAAGAAAATATCCTATGGGGGATGCGATTTTTCATGTTGAATTCAATATTTTATGCAGCTTCAAAAAATCTTTGTTTTGTTTTACAATGGGTCCCAAAATATCTTAAGGTTATTGATGGCCGTTAGTGAGATGGACCGGATAAAAAAATGACCTTTGTAGTTATTTTAAATTTTACAGTTTTTCTTAAACAAAATATACAATATGTGGTATCATTTGATTTTTTGGAATATGACAATTATGAGGATTAGCACATCATTGGACGCGACTTTAAGCCCCCTTTCAAATGATACCCCATATTGAATATACTGTTTCAAAACAAAACTAAATTTAAACAAAAATTCAAAAATTCCTTTTTCAATATAATGCATGGAAGAAAGAGACATTTTTATACCCTACACCACTTTAGTGGGGAGGGTATATTGGATTTGTGCTGGTTTGTAAATTACAAAAATATTCGTCGTAGACCCATCTTAAAGTATACCAATCGGCTTAGAATCGTTTTCTGGGTCGATTAAGCTATGTCCGTCCGTCCGTCTGGCTGGCTGTCCATGTAAACCTTGTGCGCAAGGTACAAGTCGCAATTTTCAAGATAATTGGATGAAATTTGGCACGCACGTTTTATTTGACCTAAGGATGAATCCTATTGAAAATGGTTAAAATCGGTCCATTATTTCACCTAGCCCCCATAGAACAGGTCCCCCGAAAAGGGCTTCTGAGCTCATAATTTTGTTAAATATGCAGATATATCGATAAAATACGGCACAAATAAGTTTTATAGAAGTCTTGATGACCCTGCCAAATTTCATAAAGTTCGGGCCCCATCTGACCCTAGCTCCCATACAAAGTCCCCTTCAGAAAATTACTTGAATGTCCCAAATTAACTTAGAAACACAAATATCGCGATGAAATTCAGTACAATAAAATAATATGTAAATATAAATATATTCACAAAATTTTATCGGGCTTGGTCCATATTTGCCCCTAGCCCCCATATACAGCCTCTTTCAGAAAATTAGTTTTTCATCCATAAATTGCTTAAATGTATCGGAACAAGGGAATATTGAAGATAAATGCTTTATTATGAAAAATAAATCACATTTAATATTCTTAACTGGTGTAGGGTATCATATGGTCGGCCACGCCCGACTATACTATCTTACTTGTTATATTAATAATAGTTTTAATTTTATTTAGTTTTTTGTCTCTCCTGTAAAATTTTGAAGTGATGTTACGCCCTTTTGCATTTCAGGTGACGAAATATTTTTATGAAAAATTTTAAGAATTAGTAACAACTTTTAGTTATTGAACTAAAATAAAACACACTTGTTTGACGAATTTTAATTTATATTATCAGATTGATTTCGACAAATCGATGTAATAAATACACTATCAATTAAATCGAAAAAATAATTAATAATTGTTTTCGATTCAATTATTAAGTTTAGTTTATTGTGAATATGTATTTTATTTTACTGTGAATACGACAAATTGTTATTTATTAAACATTAATATTTCTGATACCTATTAAAGGTTTTTTTTTTTAATTTAATAAAAGTAGTAATAAATTGTTAAATTTCGAATTTTTTATATTTAATCTTCAATGTATTCAAATGGCTCTGGTGGTTCAGGCTCTTTGACATCATCATTCTTGGGGCCATAGGCAGCTACAGGTTCAACCAATTTTTGTTCTTTAGTTTTTCCAGTGTGTTGCATGACAATTATACCACCAATTGTAACATCCTTAAGAGGCACATATGACTGATTTTCAGCAACACTCAAAACCTTGAGTTGCTGGCGCATGACGCGAGCTGGATTTTCTAGAATTTCAAATTTAGGTTCCTTTTCTTGTTTTTCTTTCTCGTCTTTCTTGTCTTTTTCTTTCTCGGACGAAGACTCAGGTTTGTCCTTATCCTTTTCGTCGTCTTTCTTCAAGTCTACCTTCTTTTTTTGTTTGTCATCGGTCTTGTCCATTTTCTCGTCAGATTTGGTCTTCTCATCCTCTTTTTTGGAGCTTGAAGTAGCAGAATCCTTATTTTCCTCATCAACATCCATCTTTTCTTCTTCTTTCTTATCAGCAGTCTCGCGACGTTTTTGTCGTGCAGCAATGGAAAGAACAGCTGTAGCAACTTTTTCGCGCTCTTCAGACTTTTTCTCTTCAAGTGGTGCCGGATATGCATACATTGATGGTCTGGCGGACGATTTGAATTTCATTTGGGGCATTTTCAAGTCGGAATTGAGGCCAATCACGCAGGTTGGTATAAATGCCAAAGATAGGGCATGAGCTAATGGGAACCAATACCAGTATTGGGTGAATACGAGCGAACCAACAACAGCTTGTAAATTGGTGTGGCCAGTACGCGATTGCAATGAAAGAGTGCAATTTCTTCCACCCGCATCAATTATTCCTTGGGCCAAAATTGCACCAAACTTAGCCATTACATCTTCATGCTTATTACAAATAACCTCGTCGTATAGGGAACGGAAAAACGAAGTCTTAGAGCAAGTCTGATCGGTATGTTGGATTAAAATCATGGCCGAAGCAATTAACGCCCCTTGGCGTACAAAATTAACTGGATCTAATCTTGCCATAGGCTCCAATAAAGCGATAGCATCCCTTAAACCAGTGCCGGCGCATGCTATTCCCAAAGCCATAGCTGCACCGTAACGAACATGAGGGTTATACGATTCAGCTAATAGACTAACGACAGAAGGGCATTGTTCAGGAGTGCGGAAAAGTATGAAACCTATAGCTGTTACAGCTGCACGACGCACATCATCGTTGACATCGGAGACAGCGACATGCAAGAGTTTTCGAATAGCTTTATTACTACCAGTTCCATTATAAGCCATCGCAATCGTATACATTCCCGACCGCCTGAGAACTGGATCTTTATCAGTTGAAAGACTGGTAATTAGTGGATCAGCTTCCTCTAAGCGTGCAAACATTGTAAGTGAAATGCCAACAGCAAGACCCCGTAAAATTTTTTCATGTTGAGTTTCTTGTGCATATGAAACCATGTCCTCAATAGCTTGTGCATTCTTAGAACCCAACATAACCATACCCATTGCGATACCAGCAGCTTCGCCCGTAACAGCATCGTCTTGATACAAATTAAATTTCAGTTGTTCATAGAGATCCTGTCGATGGGTACCCATGGCAGCTAAGCCCAGACCCAAACAACCACCATGACGAACATTCTCATTTTGTGCATCTTTTAACTGTTGCAATAAATAATCAATGATATTGGCTCCATGATTAGCGTGAATTAAACCTAGAGCATATAGGCCACCGCCTTCAGAATAACCAGAGCTAGGTCCAGCTTCTTTAGGCAGATAGCTTTGCATTAAGGCCAATGAATCTTTTTCATGTCCGCGATGTATTACACCTAGTGAGGCAGTCGCCGTTAGCTTTGCCCAGTTAGTTGCGCGTGCTAACCAATCGAGATTATCACGTAAAAATTGATCAGAAGTTGTGCCACTGTGCATAAAGCCATTGGCAATAACAGTAGCAGTGTGACAAATAGATACTCGTACTGCCTCTTTAGTAGCTCGTAAAATTTGCAAATCCGCGTGGTTACTACGTATAAGAAATTGCAATTGCAAATCAATCGTAACCTCGCCAGAAAGAATAGATATCAGTTTTTCAATATTTTTCTGATGGGCTTTCTCAGAGTCATTTAAGGAATCGACGGTACGTTCAACTTTGACATCGGCTGTATGTAAAAATGAAAAGAAAAAAATATATATACATATTTTATTCCAGTTCGTATATATTTTACACGACAAAAGTACCTTCAGGCTCTTCCGTTTTTTCAATTTCATCCTTGGCTTTTTCTTCGTCGGTTTTTGAGGAGCTGGTAGTACCTTGAGGTTTGAAAGTACTTGGAAGGGCAGTGGGAATGGGTGCGGTTTCCTTGAGTGCCTGCAAGACGTTGCCCAAAAATTCTTGAGTTGCGGATTCATATAAATCAAATGCAATTTGATAAGCCATCAAGTTATTGGACTCCTTAGATGATCTTGTAAGATTATCTAATACTTCGGCCACGGCCAGAGGATCTTCCAAGAAAATTAAACACTGACACATATTTACATAATCTGGAACACCTAAATCACGATAAAGTCCCACCAAACAACGTAATACTTCATTGCGGAAACCACGATTTTGTATTAAGGACATGGTCACGTTGTAAGCGTATGCCAGCATACCGCTAACATCGTCCGACTTCATGATTGAAACCTCAAATATATCCATACGTCTAGTTTCCAATGCAATACCTAAAGCTTGACGATATTGTCCATCATCTAAGCAGCGTTGAATCATTCGGTTAACAATTGCTTCCAAGCGTGCATCAACAGGCTTAGCTTCCTTTGGAGTCTCAATGAAAGCAACTCTTTGAGCGATGTAAAAATCAATGCATTTGGCAATGATTGTTTCTGTGTACTCATTCCGAGCATTAACATCAAACAAATCGCCAGCTCCTAAGGCATAGGTGAGCGCATCTTCGAATGAACCCAAATGAT